GAAATCATCTCAACACCACAAACGCTGCCCCTGTTCACCCTGGCTCCCTCTCAGCTCTGGCATGGGAGAAGGAATCCCTGGCATGGGCTCTGCACAGCAGCAGGGGCTGCCCTGGGGAAGCTGTGTGTGTGTGGGCAGGATCACTGTCCCCCAGCAGCTCTGCCACCAGGGCTACCTGGGGCCAAAGTCAGCCCTTGGCCTCGAGGACACCGCTCACCCCATCCCCACAGTGCCCTGTGAAGCCTCTCCCTCCTCCCAACGGGCCCAGCCAGGCTCAGGACACAGGAGACCCAGCCCTGAGACACAGGGCAAGGGGAAGGGCCCAGATGGCTGCTCTCCTGAATGGGATTTGAGGGGGATGGCCAAGCTGTTTCCTGAGGAATGAGCCCAGGTTGACTTCTTCAGCCTCGGCCTAATTCCCATCACTCCTCCTCAGGCTTGGGTTTCTCTTAATCCTGCACCAGCCTAGGACAGACCTCCAGGCACATCTCTGCTCTCCACTTACAGAGGTTTGTTTCCCTGTCTGCTTAACCAGGATGGTCTCATGGACCATGTTTACCCAGCGGGGTCAAGGGCTCCTCTCCAGGGCACAGTCGTGATTCCAAAGCCAACAGAAGAGCCCAGACAATGCCCGACCAGGCGATCTCCTGCTGCGGGGGCACAGGGACTTGGGACAACACTGCCAGACTCCTGGGGTACCAGATTGCTCAGGTTTGCTCTTTTTTATCAGCTCTGCCCTTCGAGGGCAATGTCAACCCCAAAGTGGAAGGTCACAGCACCAGCAATACACTTGGATACTCCAGCTCCTTGCCCCAGAGCTGGAGAGCTGCAGTGGTGAGCCCAGTCCATACAAAGTAAGGCGAGCTCCCCCCTGCCCTGATGGATGGGTGGCAGTGAAGGTACAGTTGGCACATCTGACCCCACTGTGGGCCTTTTAGACCATTCAGCCTGGTAAATCTGGGTTGGTATAAATACACACAAGTGCTCCAAGTACACAGCCACGGCTTGGCTCCACCGAGTCAGTGAGTGCAAGACAACCTCGACCCCAAGATCTGACCAAGAACCACCAACAGAAGACATCCCAAACACCCACACTGTTCACTGCTGCTGAGCTGCAGCTATCAGGGCAAGTGAGCAGCAAGGGCATGGAGATCAGCTGGACCCAGGAGGAAAAGCAACACCAGTTTGGGCACCTTCCTCTGCAATTACCATCACCACGTTGCCATCGCCTGTGTGAGCAGCTGCCCGCTCTGGGGGAAGGACACGTGCTCCATCATCATCAGCACATCCTCAGAGTGAGTTGAGAGTAAGTAGCATGGAGGATGGAGGATGGGATGGATGAAGGAGGAGCGTTCCCCTCTCTCCACCCCTGCCTGCCTTCTGGTCTGTGCCATCTCAGCTGCCCATCTAGCTGGGCTTGGATGGTTGCTGGAGCTGGCACAACGTTCCCCCAGGAGAGGAACACGGGCTGGGCATGCTCACTGCTGGTGGCTCCCCTGGGCCTCACCCCAAGCACCCTGGCTGGCCAAGGCCACCCTGAAGTGCTCAGTGGTGGCTGCGCTCTGCTCAGCAAGAGGTGGCTCCTTGGGGCCAGCAGGTGCCCGAGGATGATGGGTGGGAAGGAACAATGGGAAATTTGCTCCAGGCTGAAGAGCTGATGCCCCGGCTGGTGGCCCAGCAGGGGCTCTGCAAGCCCCCCGCCCGCAGGCCCCGCTGGCACAAGCACTGCCCAGGCAGCGAAGCAGCTCTCCCTGAGAGCCCCAACAAGGTCCCAGCACATGCCAGGCTCCTGGTGAGGCCAAGGGGGCCAGCAGCACGGGGACGTGCCCCCCAGCAAGCCCCACACCCCCTCCACAGCACGGGCTGGGCCGCGTGTGCTGCGAGGAGGCCGTGGCTGCCGGGAAACGCCGAGATTACTTGACTTTCAAATTAAATCCAGGTCCTAGGGGTCTTCTAAAAATCCAGGCTCCACGTCCATTTGTCTCCTTAAATACAAACAACAGGGGTTTGAGGCCATTTCCCACCCGGAGCGAGACTGATCTCTCCTGCCCCCCTTCCCTGAGCCCCCCTCGCCACACCACCTTCTAAGCACTTCTGCAGCTGGCCGAGCTGCTCCACGGGAGTGGCTCCCTCACTGGTTTGGATTTTGGGGGAGAAAGGCAGAGAACACAAACAGGAGAGGCACAAAAATTATCAGAGGGCTGGAGCACCTCTCCTAGGAAAGGCTGAGAGAGTTGGGGTTGTCCAGCCTGGAGAAGAAGGGGATCTAGGGGACCTTAGAGTGAACTTCCAGTACCTGGAGCACTGGGGGGTCCCAGCAGAAACACCCCGTGTACCTAATGGCTTTAGGCTAAAAAAGGGGAGATTCAGGTTAGACGTTAGGAAAAAGTTCTTCAGTGAGGGTGATTGATCATTAGAACAGGTTTCCCAGAGAGGTGTTGGAGGCCTCATCCCTGGAGACATTCAAGGTCAGGCTGGATGAGGCTCTGAGCAGCCTGGCCTGGTTAGAGATGTCCCTGCTTATAGCAGGGGGTTGGACTAGGTGACCTTTGGAGGTCCCTTCCAACCCAATCATTCTATAATTCTATGAGGAGGGACCATGCTGTTGAACACATCTGCCCCTTTCCTCCCCACCACTGGCCATGCTGCCCTGTGGCTCTGGCCATGCACAGGAGCATTCTCATCAAAGGTGCTCCTGGGTGCCCCAAGCTTTCCAGGTCTGGGTGCTGCTCCCCAGGCTGGTGCTGGCAGTGGGAGGGATGGGGAGCAGAGCATCCCAGCTCCTCCCCGTGCCTCTCAGGGTGAGCTCACTCTTCTGCAGCCCAGCCCAGGGACAGGGAGGTTTGCAGAATACATAAACCTGGTGTCTTGCTCACTCAGCCCATGCCTCCTGGGGGGCTCCAGGGCTAGGCTGGGCAGTAAGAAGCATGTTGCCCAACCTGGGGAGGTAGGAAGGTTGATAGTGGAAGAGAGGGGTCACCACAGCCTGGTGCTCATACTGGGGTGATGTGCAGCTCTCCTCTTCATTTGCTCCAGGACATTCACAAGAGGGAAACGAGCCAGGGTCACCACATCTCTCTTCCCTCCCATCACATGCACTCAACAGCATCCTGCCCTCAAGTGTTGGGGCCATTTTGCCAGCAGAAAGCCCCACAACAGACAGAAGCTCTTTGCTGTTGGGCCTGGCCAGCCACTGACACTGGTGGAGATGTCTTCCACAGTCCTGCAGTGGAAAATCTCCTCCAGGTTCATCTGGACAGAGCAGGGGAGGGACCACTGCTCTGACCACGCTGGTGTCTGCACTGCTGCAGAACACAGGTGAAGCAGAAGAGAGATGTGGGCAGATGATCAAAACATGATGCAGGTTCCAGAGACATTCAGAGAAATCACTGCCAAGGTCACAGCTTCTCTGTCTCTTTCCACCATTTGAACTCATGTTGTGAGCATTTAGACTGAAGAACAATGGAGCTACAGCAGCAATAGTGTTATAAACCTACTTGGACTAGTTTCATCTCACCAGCTGACTGGGACCAGTGGAGAGGACTCCAGCATTGCCTCTGTCACAGAAAGCAGTCCTTCCTCTGTGAAACCTGCCACCCACAGCCACACCAGCCATGACAGCTCTGAAAAAGCCATTCAGCAAAGCCCTTCTAAAGGTGCTTGGAATTCAAACACCTTTGCTTGACTCCAAGAAACTCTTTGCCAGCACTGCCAAAGTCCCTGGCCAGGCTGCAGTTAGCAGTGGCTGTGCAAGTTCTCCAACCAATGTCATTAAACCACAGGGGGAAACTGAAGCAGATCCTAAAGGGGACTCAATCCACAGTTTTCATGGCACATGAAGGAAAAGAGGGGCTGTTGATAACTGGCACTGCACAGTGCACTGTTCCTCCCCACTGCTGGGAGCAGGAACCATGCTTGAGCAGCACTGGGCAGACAGACCAGAGCCCTGCTGCTCACACAGAGCTGAGCTTCCTTAAGCTCACAGCACAAATGTCTCTGAACAAACGTTCCCTGGACAGTAAAAGACAAAATGTAACTTCTGGAGCCCTTCTAAATTTCAAGCCCTTGCTTCAAAGCAAGAAGACAGCAGCAGTTTCCAGTGACATGGAAATATAGAGTTTTCCAGCTTATTTAATGTGGGCAAAGCAGTGTATTTTCACTCAATCTCTCTCTTGGAAATGGACAGTTTTAGCTGAAATCAAGCAAACACACATAGAAAAATAGCATCATCAGCCCAAGGCAGACACCCAACCCCCTTTACTCTGCTCTTGTGAGACCCCACCTCGAATACTGCATCCAGTTCTGGTGGCCCCACCATCAAAGAGACATATACCTGTTGGAACGAGTCCAGAGGAGGCCACAAAGATGAGCCAGGGGCTGGAGCATCTCTGCTCTGAGGACAGGCTGAGGGCACTGGGATTGGTCAGCCTGGAGAAGAGAAGACTCTGGAGGGCCCTTAAAGCTGTCTTCCAAAACCTGAAGGGAACCTCCAGGAAGGCTGGAGAGGGACTTGGCACAAGAGTGTCCAGTGTCAGGACAAGGGGAAATGGCTTAAACTGAAGGACAGCAGGTTTAGACTGGATCTTGGGAAGAAGTTCTTCAGTTGGAGGGTGGTGAGACTCTGGACTAGATTGCCCAGAGAGGTTGTGGATGCCCCTCCCTGGAGCTGTTCAAGGCCAGGCTGGATGAGGCCTTGAGCAACCTGGTCTAGTTGGAGAGCTGTCCCTGACCATGGCAGAGAGGTTGAATTGGCTGATCTCTGGGGTCCCTTCCAACCTAAGGCATTCTAGGATTCTATGAAACACAAACCCCAGCACTCAGGAGTCTCAGCCTCACACCGTGTGGCCGCTGTAACCCTTAAACCTGTGTAGCCCTCTGCACTAAGGCACATGGAACAACAAATCTCCTAAAAAACACCAGGCACACCAAAGAGGAGCCGCTGGAGAGGTGACGGAGGCAGGATGACAGCGGTGGAGCTGCCCCACCCCGGGCTCACTCACCTCCCTGGTCTCGTTGTCCTGGATGAGGGCGTAGAGAGGCACCACGCGGTTGATCTCCAGCAGCACGGGCGTGGGGCTGAGCTGCTCCTTCCCGGGGCGCCGGCAGAGGTGGCAGGTGGCCGGGCAGCGCCCCTTCTCCTCGCAGCGGATCTCCACGCCCGAGATGAGGTGGTCCTCAGACAGCATCTGTGCTGTCAGCAGGCCCGACAGGTAGGTGATGAAGGGCATGGATTTCAACTCCTTCTTGTTCCCCAGCTCCGTCGTTTCTGGTGTGGAGAGAAGAAGGAAAGCGGACGCTAAATACGACTCAGCACCCTCTTTTCCCAAAGGCAGGCTTGGCTGCAGCCAGGATGAAGGCAGCTCCTGAAGGTGTAGGCCAGGTGGGAGCAGGAGACTAGAAAGGTCAAGGAGAGAAGGAGGAAAACAGGATGTGCAGGGCACTGCTTGGGAGTGGGTAGAAAGTGTGAGTGTTTCCAGACAAGCACTTCCAGAGTGGTGGAACTGTGTTCTCCTCCCTTTTCATAGCTTGCATAGTCACTGTCTGCACTTCAACGAGAAACAAAACCACCCATGTGTACCTTCCCTGCCAGAGAGAAGCCCCTCCACAGGGACCAGGCCAAAGAGCTGAGTGCCCTCCCTCCCACCCCGATGCCAGCCCTGTCATGTCCCCACGGCCCTCAGCTCCCTCTTTTGGGTGACACGTTACTCAGGACACTGAGCCAGACCCAACAGGGGCTGCAAAGAGACAACACCATGGGATGAAGCCCCTTGGCAGAGGGGTGAGCAGGTACTGGAACAAACTCACCACACAGGGATCAGATGGAGGTGTCACCCAACTCAAACTGTCCACACTCTGCTTTCAGGATATATTCAGGCCTTTGACCTGGTGAGACTGAGCAATGGAGACAGGACTCCCACCTTGGTCCTGTACACTTCTATTTAAACTCTTTCTCTAGACACTCCTCTTGGATTGGCCAAGAAGGATGGCCTAACTTCCATAACCTGGTGATAGACCTGCAGAAGCAAAGCCCTTCTCCATGCTGTGCCCAAATGAGGTTCCCCACACAGAGAGTTGCATGGCTGTAGCCTCCAGCAACAACCTCCTGGTCCCAAGAAGGAGCTGCAGACAAACGAGGATTGTCTCAATGCCCTTGGCTTGCAGTGATGTGGAGCTGACCTGGCAAGGCACTAGTCAATTAGAAATACAAGTAAACACAGCATTCATTCATGACTCCCAAGCCCTCCAGGCCAGGGACAGCTCTTCTCTGCTGCCTGGCTGTCAAGAAACACTTCTGTGCACAGGATCAAAGCTGTCACAAGCAAATTCCAACCAACCCATCTTTCAGTGGAATAAAAGGTGAAGAGCTGTTAAGATGAGTCGATAAAAGCCTGTGAGGAGGTGACACTGGTGTACACAGACATGGAAAATGAGAGTTGGAGTTGGTTCTTAGATTATTTTCTACAAGAGCAGCTCCAGGCAACTTCAAGCCTCGTGAGGGAAAGCCATGAAGCCATAACAAGCTGGGTGGCTCAGAAAGAGGGAAGCTACAAGGTGATACCCACCTCTTATCCAGGAGTAAGAAGGTGAGCTCTTCTTGCTCCTGAATTAGACTAATATTTTTTTAACTTTGCTACTGAACCATATGTAGAGGACAAAGGAGACAACACAGACCCTTCTGGGCTGCAAAGCTTTTCACCAGACCTGAAGCAGTGATTTCACAGGTCCTCCATGTGGAAGGAAATTTTGGAGCATGCTTTAAGGGAGAATATTAACATAGAGCTGAAGAGAAAGAAGAATCAGTTATCTCGTGATTGGCAATAGGATCTCAAACCTTCCTTCCTGAATTACTGGCTTTATAGCTAAGAATTGCAGACATCTACCATCAAACGTCTGGATGGGTCCTTAGCAGAGATTAGAGCTTAGCCTAAGCTTAGCAAAGCTTAGATGGAGCAAAGCCATTTCAGGAGCAGCACAGGGGACACAGTAGAGGTCTGTAAACAAAGTTAGACAGCAAACTGTGAGTAGCACAGCTCACCTCCCACTCCAGCCATGCACTCAGCCCCAGAACACCACCCGTGGAGCCTGGTGATTCATGGTAGGCCTGGCAACAGAGCTGACCTCAGAAGCAAGGTGGAGATGGCTGCCTGTGCTCAACCCTCTTCATAACAGGGGAAGCCTCAGTCACTTTGTGAAAAGGATTACTCTACAGACTGGCTTCCTGGGGATGCAAGGGGTTACTGCAGCCAAGCTTCCTGGTGCAGCATGCTGTTCCCTTGTACCAAAAAGTCTCTGGGTACAACTCCAAAGGAAGAAAATGAAATAGGATGTGGCTCAGCAGAGAGAGACAGGCTCCACTGCCAAATGCCAGCTCTCAACTAGACGAGCACTTGGAAGTTATCAGCACTGGATAGCACTTTCTGGTGGCTTCTGTGAAACGAGCTTTTGGGGATTAAGTACAGTCCTAACAAAATAATCACCCCGTTTCTGCTACTGAAACCTACCTGAGAGTTCCAGTGGCACACCCTGGTTGTGAGCCAGCTCCTCCAGAGCTGGGGAGAGGTAGCACAGAGGAACTGCTGCTCCTCATCTGCTTGCTCAGGGAGCAGAAAGCATCAGCTGCAGGTGCCTCATCCCTCAAAACCTGGCAATTTCCTTGATGGAGATTGTGCTTCCTTTTCTTCCCACCCACATCAATCACCAGTCATGGTATGTGACAGAGGAGTTATTCAGATCTGAGAGGTATTTCCCCCCCAAAAAGCCTACACTCCATTATCCCTGGACCTGCCATTGCAAGTGTAGTTCAGGGAGAAGGGATCAAGGTTCCCCTCTCCCTCTATCTGTCTGTCTCCTACCTCTGGGAAGAGTTTCAGTTATCTGCTCTTGCTCAGCCTGCTCTCCCCACGGCAAACCCACGAGTTCCTGGAGGCTCAGCCAGTTCCTGGCCTTTGATACCCAGTCACCAGTCAGCATTTGTCAGTGCCCAGGCCCAGCTGACTGACAATATGGGCAGCCCAACCCTGTTCTTGACAAAATCAAAGGAGGTTTTTGCTGTTGGAGAGGATCAGAACGAGTCTCTGTGACGTGCCATTGCAATGCCACCTCCAGCTGCCAGTGAAGCCAACAGCAACGCTCCCGTTGTCTCCACTGCAAACTGGGTCCAGTCCAGAGTAACTACACCCAGCTCTAGTGCTCAGGTCCACGTTGCACAGGCCCCCTGCAGAGCTGGGTAACCTTCAGGGCACTCAGATTGCTCTTGCAAAGCCCCTGCTTCTCTCCTAGGAAAGGGCTTTGCAGGTGACTACTGCCAGGGGGCTCTGGAGGTCCCGTTCTGGCAGGAGGATGAGGCTTGGCTGAGAGGATCAAGAGGTTCCTTATCAGCCCTTGCATCTGAGCAGGCTCTCCCTGACACTGCTGGCCACACATCTGAATCCTGGCAACATCTGCTTGCACACAGAGTCCTGTGGATGTGGTCAGACACATCACAGCAACTTGGGAGACTCATTAGCTGGTTTGTTTGCCTGAAAGACATCTTTTAGAAAGCCCAACAACACAAATAACAGCCCTCTGCCAAGTCTCAAGCCTTGCATAAGAGAGGGAGGCTGAGGAGCACAGTGTGCTGAGCTCCCACACGCCTGTTGGGGTGTCTGGTTCCATCTCCGTGCTCCACCAGGATTTAAGAACCCCACAGCACCAGGGGACTGCCAGCACTGGGCTCCCTGCTCGAGAGGCAGCAGCTGCAGATGTGAGGAAAGCTTCCAGCACTACCAGCAGCACCTCCTGGTGCTTGGACGAGAGGGGAGCACGATAACACCACCACTGTAACAATAACAAAAGCATACTACCTAATTCCTTTGTATTGGAGAGCTGCTTTGTCTTGAGAGCTCCCAGGAGATGGTGGGTTTGCTCGTGGTCCAGCATTTTAAACAGCACCTCTTTCAAAAGACCACAAGTCCTTCCAAAACTGGGAATCACTCCACTCACCACAAGAATGCAGCTGCATCAGGGGTAGGATGTGGGAGCTCTTCAACAGCAGAAACGTTTGGAACAAGGAGGGGAGAAGCCTCTCTCCAGCTGAAGCCAGGGAAGGAACATCAGGGACAGACCCAGGTAGGGATTCCTCCAGGCTCAGCAGGTTAACCCCACCAACACCAACAGACCTGGTTTAGGACCTGGGTTTTGCATTTCATGCAAAGAAGAGATAATTCTGGTCCACTTGCCCTTTATACCACCCTCCAGCTGGAAGGACCTAGTGCCACCACCGGCAGGGCTGTGGGGATTTATGGCCAACACACACCCCCTGGCACAGGCTGCCTGTTTATAATAACACCCTGTTTGTTGTTGGCAAATCCAATGAAAGGGAGTTAGAAAGGAAATCAATAGATGTGTTTGCCCAGGAATTTCTTACGCAGTGAGATGTTGTCAGAGCAGTAACCAGCAGGTCTGTGAAGGGCCTGGGCAGAGCTAACGCTGCCCGCTGTTAGTGGGGGGCAAACCCAAAGTGGGGCTGTGAAGAGGGTGTGGGAGCAGTGCCCGGGGGACCAGCAGTGCTCCTCACACAGCCACATGTGCAGGGAGCGTGGTGCCAGCCCCTCGTGCTGCCCAGGAGCTGCTGTAGCAGCAGTGGCTCAGCCCCACCACCAGCAACAGCCACGACCCCGGGGCTCACGGGGGCTGGGGCAGGGCACAGCTCACCTGGAGACCACTGCCCGTCCTTTGGGGGACACAGCCATCCTGTGGCACGGCATCCCAGAGTCAAAGGACAGAATCACAGAAGGGGTTGTTGGAAGGGACCTTCAAAGCTCATTTAGACCAAGTCCCCTGCAGGGACAGGGACATCTGCAACTAGAGCAGGGTGCTCAGAGCCCCAGCCAACCTCACCTGGGATGGTTCCAGGGAT